TTTTTTTTGGTTTTGTTTATTGAACCTCTTAACACTGACCTATGAATCACTGAAGGATGAAAAAGGCTCTTAACTCACAGGATGTGAAGCAGTGTTGTTTTTACATATAAGAGAAAACTGACCAGAGGGCCCATTTTAAATTGGATCTTTGTTACAGACATAATTTGTTTCCATTCCTTTAGCTGATTGAATCTATGAAACTCACAAAAATAACACATTTTGACAGACATACAATAGTATTTTTTGCACCAACAAAGTGATTCCCAGAGAGCTATCAGCTTGAATTGGGCACTTCTCAGCATTCGGTGCAGTGTGTCCTTAAAATATCTGAACAGCACCTGAAAGTCATGTCTTTAAAGAGTGGGAAAAATCTATTAAGGTCCTGGAAAAGGAGCTGAGAGATGTATTTGAGCCTTTAGTTGATCCAAAGTACTGTTCACTAAAGCCTCATCAGAAATAATTTTAGTGGACAGGTGGCTGTCAAGAAGCCATTCATGCAGAAGGAAATTGGGGGAAAAGGTGGAGGTATGTCACTTTACATAAAAATTTGACTGAAAATCAGGTCTTGGAGCGACTAATCCAAATGTGAAAATTCTGATTCAAACCACTGTCAATGTGTACCAAGGACATAAGGAGAGATGCAGAACAGTGAGTGGCTACAGTCATCTGTAAAAACATGGTTCGAGGCTCTGTCATGGTTCGAGGATGCATTTCAGCCAGGGGTGTTGTAGATCTTGTCAAAACTGATGGAATTATGAACACAGAAAAATGCCATCAGATTTGGACCCACTAGCATCTGACTGACAAAGATCCCAACCACAATACAGTAAAATGCCACCAACATCCAAAGAAGAGCTTTGACAGTCTTCCAGGAAGTCCAGAGAACTATTCCTGAAGACTACTTTCGTACCTAAGAGGGTTCAGGCTGTGTTAATGAATAAATATTGGCTTTCACGCTTGTTAGAAATCTTTTATATAAGGCTCGTTTTTGCTGTGTACACTGTATTTTCATGCATGTTTAAAGATTTCTCCCAATTTTCTATTAAAATATAAAGAAAGGAAGGGCTACTCAAGAGTTTTCCACAGTACTACAAATGCCTTTTGCATTCATCGTCTACAGTGGTGCAGCCAAAACAAATTTACAGTAACTTGACATAGCAGCGGGCTACTTAACAGACACACTTTGTGCATTAATTACAATTGAAAAAGGTCACGCTGCTAGCATGAATAGAACAAGGCGTGCATTAAGGAATATTCTGCAAGAGTCTGAATGATCACAAGGCATTAGAATGGAGGCTGAATAATGATGCTATGAAAGGAGAAGGCACTGCGAGTTTCACACTAATGACTGCAGTTAGATACTGTATCCGCACATATGTATGGTCACAGACACCGAATAGTGACTTGCATGACATAAATGCATCATAACTGCCTTTGTGGAGAGCATTACATTAGGCCTAAGTGGATGTTATAAGTGCTAAATTAAATAATATAATCAAACCACAGTCCCAAAAATCTTAATGCAAGTCACTGAGACAAAACAATAGAACAAGTATTTGCTACAACAGGCAATTCACAAGTGATAAACCTGTGTTACAGTAAAACTGTATTACAGTATGTCAACAGCTAACCTCCATATAATTCAGTATCTATCACACTTTTTCACTGCTGCCTTTGAATAAACAATATTTCAGTTCCCCTGTCCTTAAGCCAAGTTGTGCATTTGCTGGGTTTTCTCACCATTTACTATTTCTTTAAGAGCATCTATGTGTGTTATATTCTTATGCAAAAACCAAGAGAATTTCAGTGGTTACATGTTTGGATATTAGATGATCAGATAAAAGGATTTTGTGCCTGTGATGTTTTCCAGCTACTCTGAACAAAGTTAGTGAACACTTTCTGAGATATTTTGTGTTTGTTGGTCAACATGAGTGATGGAGCAGTGTCGTTGCCTCAGTTAGGCTCAACCATCTAGCTGCTATTCTGCTATTCTTTTGACAACATGATTAACTGAAAAAGCAGATTTAGTAATATAAAAAAAGTCATAGATCTTCTGAGATCTGCTGCATTGCCGCTCTGTCCTGTTCAAGGTTCAACCAAATGTGTGACTGTAAAACAAAAACAGTGCTTTGCTATTCTTACCTGTGCAGTTTCTTGGGTGGGGGAGGCGGTGGATTGGGGTCATGGCTGGTAGCTCCCTTCCCTGGTGCCAGCGGCTCTGATGAGCCACCATGCAACGGTTGCTTTGCCGGCATGCTCCCGTTATGCTTGCCCTCCGCCTCTGCGCCGTTGCCCTTAGTTTCCCCCTGATAGGCACCATTGTTAGTGGCAGCTGGGGGGGCCGTGCCTGGCTCTGTCAGCGGAGGGGGGCCGCTGTGGGCCTTCGAGTCCCTGGCCTCCTTCCAGACAGCAGCACCATTGACTACGCCTGTCACCCGAGAGGTTGCCTCAGCACTGGCGGCTAACTTTTTCTTTTCAGTCTCTTTCCGGTCTCTTTCTTCCTCCTCCTCCTCTTCCTCAATGCGGCAGTTCCAGCCAGAGCTGTGGTGGTGGGGCTTGTGCCATCGCTCGGGTGCTGGGCTCTGGTTCTCAGCAGTGACCTCTTTAGTAGAGACGAAGAAAAGCATGGGGAGTTCAGTGAGAGGGACGGGAGATGAAACAGACGGAGAGAGGCTGGAGGTCAGTAGTCTGGGAAGTTCAGGAAGTGGGACTGGAGAAGACATGGACGATGAGAGGCTAGAGGTGCCCAGTTTTGGGGAGCGGGTGTTCCTCTTTGGAGGAATTGGTGGGCTGGACTGGGGCTTGGGGTGCAGAGTAGGGGCACAGCCTACTTCTGTAGCAAGAGAGCCTGTGCTGTGGCTGGGGCTGGGCCAACGGAAAGCAGGACTGCTCTGGTCTTTACGAGCCGTGGGGCTGAAGTGGCACTGGGTGCTAACAGCCGAATCCGGGCTGCTCAAGTAGAAAGTCCTGTTGTTCTCCTCCATGTGAGCAGCCATTACAGTGATGGTGGCCCGCTGACTGTCTCCTGAGAGGTCATGCTCAGAGCTTAGGGACTCCTCAGTCTGGTTTGGGGACTCCGGTTGAGATTGCAGTCCGTTTTCTTGCTGCTTGCGCTTTTTCTTAGTGCTCTCAGCATAAATTGGCTCTGAGCTTTTCTGTCCACTGAAAAAGGTGGGAGTTGACTGTGGGCTACCCATAGATGGTGGGCTTTGGGGGCTCCTCGAGCGGTCTTTTCTTGCTCCTGAGCCTTCCGGTCCAGGAAGTGAATCTGTGCTGCTACGATAAGAATAAGAAGAGTCTGATAGGTTGCTCTGTTTGGACAGGATGGGACAAAGAGATTTAGGGCTAGCAACATCCACACAGGAAGTGGTAGAAGTGCTGGATGTCTTTATGGTAACACCCGTCGCACTCCCACTGCTCATACCATTGCTGTGGACTGTGGCAGGGCTAGTAGGGACAATATCCAGTGAAAAGGGAATCTCCACAGCTGCCTGATGACATTCTTGATAATTCGACCTGGTAGTCACAACATTTCCATTAAAAGTGCTTTTGGTTCGGAGAGCGGATGTACTATTCTGCTGCCTGCAGGAGTCTTCATTGGCATTTTTCTTTAAACTCTGAGAACCTCGACCCTCCTCCTGGGTAACATAGATATTGCTGATGATCTTAGAGTCAGTGGGCAGGATAGTGGGGGACAAGGGAGTCAAAGAGAAGCCGTTGTTGCAGTCTTTCTTGGTGTCGGCACTCTGAAGAACTGCGTCTCTGTGGGCCTTATTGCAGCCGCTGTTATCAATGTAAAGAGACGACAGGTCTAAGAGCTGCTTGAGGCGCAGCCTCTCAGTTGGGCTCTTTGTGTTTTCCTCCTACAAACAAACATGAACACACGTTACCAAACAGACATCCAGCTGACAAAAAAATGAATAAAAAAATGGAAACATTTGAGAGGCTCACCTGCTCAATGTTCATGTTGACATCTGCAGCATCGCTGGTGTCGAGGCTCATCATAGTAGGTTTCACAGCTATCGTCGGCTTGCTGTAGGGTGAAGGCGCAGTCACTAAAGCTTCCTCATCACCTCCCGGGCTGCTCTTCAAACACGCAGCTGGTGCGCCGCCATCCGGGAAGCCAACGGTCTTGTGTGCGCTGAACGGGTGGAAGCAGTTCTTACAAGAGCCGGGTTTCCACACGTGTTCTGCAAAGTCATTGCACGCTGACATCTTGGGTTCGCTAAATCCAGTTTGGTCAGAGGTGGCTCTGGAAGTATCTGGTAGATGCAGGATAACCTGTCATGGCTGATTTTACGACACGGGGGTGTCGGTCGTAGGGCAGCATGTAAAAGGCAGAGAGAAGAATGCAGCACAAGTTTTTGAGTTAGACATATGGCCTAAAAGTGATTACATTAAGTCATAATAATAATTCCACATGTCTTTGTCTCCAAAAACCCCCCCAAAAAACAAAAAAAACAGATGTAAAAATCTCACCCAGCCTTTAAGTTCTTGTCTGACAGCTCATATCTCTTTTGCAGTGCCCGGAGAAAAGGTATCAGACTATTTTTATTCATTTTGCCTTTAAACTAACATATGCATGATCTTCTGCCATAAATCCTAACAGATATTTAAAAAAAAAAAAAAAACAGTGAAAAGTTCAAACATCTATTTAAAAACTCAAAGACAAGGAGGCCCAGGCTGACAAGTGTCTCTGACTCCATAGAAGACTTGTTAAGACTCAAGTGTCATTCATGGATGTAACTTGAGAAGACCTGATGTCTGCGTGCACTGCATGTTCCCATGCCCTCTTAAATTAGAGGGTATGTGGTTTCTGTTCAACCAAAGGGTTTTGCCGGTGTGAGCCTGGCAACATAAAAGCCGTCCGGAGCCCTCTGCAGCCCCCAGCGTGCTACCAGAAGACGGAGGAGCCTCAAGCATCCCGGAGGTCGGAATGTCAGGAATGTCTAAAGGCGCAAGTCTCACCAGGGTGAATCTCACACCCACGATGACCCCCCACCCCCCTTCTCTCTTCTACACATGAACACACAAACAACATGTGCGTCCTCCACCTCTCACAAACACAACTGAACCACCTTCCTCTCGCTGAGCCCCGTTTAACTGGGCCGACAGAGAGAAGATCAACACCTTTTCAGAGAGATCATTTGTTTCCTCGCAGCCGGGAGCGGGGTGGGGGTGTGTGTCTCTATTTATGCTCCTGACACAGCTTTAATTGCCTTTCAACAAGGTGATGCAGTGACATACGGCCACATTAGCTCGCTATTTAAGATGCACCAGCTGGAAAACAGTCGTAAGAGGCAGGAGGATCCACAATTCCTCTTATGACTGAGGAAAGTTCTCAGCTAACTTGCGACTCATCACAGAGAAACATCAGAGCGACATCAAGCATTAACGTAGCCATGGATCGAAAAATACTTAATAGAGGTTAGGCCTATTAAGACTCCAGTTAATTCTTGCTTTATGACCCAATAATGCCACAGGGTATGACGAGTGGTCCCGCTGGCAAAGATAAGATGCATGTTTACATTTTTCTTTGTTCTGTCTGACTCGGTTCATGCAGGAAGGCATCCGCTAGCTCACTGTTTGTTTTACCGTTCCTGCGACAACAGAGGAAACTGCAGATTGGCCAACATCTTACAGCCTCGTGCATGAGTCATGCGGATAGATGACTGATCAGAGGCGCAAGGGATCATTGGGCCACTGGTTCTCGAGTGCGCAGACCTGCTGCCAGTCAACTTTAGTCTCTGCTTTCTCGACAGAGAGTCGCAATCGTCCATGCAGGATTTTCACCTGAGACCACTTCTGGCACTCTTGTCTGCATTTGCACAGCAACACTGGGACACAAATGAAGCTGCACACGGTTTTGGTTATTTTGGCTCTTGTTGGCATGGTCAGAGCTACTTGTTTTAACAGAGATAGACCCTGTGGTCTACATTCCCCACACCTTCTCAAGTTCACCGTTCAATTTCTCTCACTTCCCCTTGCTAAAAGTAAAAAAGTTAAAAAAAAGCTCTCACACGTGGCAACAAGAAGTTGAAAAGTGAAGCAGTACCTTCGATATAAGACACAGACTATGAAGAATATCTCACGAGCGTGTGAGAAGTTGGGGGCTAGAAAAATGACTTGAGGATGGATGTGGAATTTACAGTTTTGAGCCACCACCTCATATAGACTGTGTAAACCTTGACAAGCCTCTGCCCTCATTTCTTTCGACCTTTGTAAACACACACACACACACACACACACACACACTGATATTTCAAACACATCCAAAGGTAATCTCAAAGATTCTAAACATTATAACCAACCGCTGAACCTAAAATTGGTTCTTTTCCCTTTGATGGGTGTGAGAATGCACTTTGTCTGAATGCTGAATCTTTACGCAGCAGCGCATAACCAAGGAGTCAACCACCTACAGACACACGAGACACCCCACCCCCCCCCCAACCCCACCTCATAACCCGACAGACACACGCGCGCGCACATGTACGCGTAAGCAAACAAGCGCAGAGACAGTCGCTATGAAGTGTAGGTCATCTGATAGTTATTACTCGAGTGTAGGGTTACTGTAATCCACCGACTTGTCCTACTGACTGCTTTTTAAGGAGCTGCTCTGTGCCGTGCGAGCAAACGCACACTTAATTGGATGACAGGCCCACAAAACAGGGGAAAACACACACAAAACAAAAACAAAACACATCCACTCGTACATAATCAAAATAACTGGACAACCTCTAGTTCACGTCACAGTCTGATAAGCAGGTCACTTCAGTGTGTAGTCCCTCACTTTGAATACAAATCCCTTTTCGGGCAACATTTGTCACGCCTGCTCACTCACACGGCCCCGTTCATTCATTCTGGGGGCGCAACCAGGTTTCTCCACAGTCACGAGGGGGGTATTTCCAACCCCACCACCCTAAAATAACTTGTGAACTTTCTTCTAAACCCCCATCTTAGATAGATTATTGGTCTATTTTGCGAGCATCAGCTTTAACATCCGCTCGACTTGCGGTAAACACCCCACGTGTTTCGGTCTGAGATTCTGTTTTTAGATGAGGTGCGTGAAGATTTGGGTAAACGTTGCTGTCGCCATGCCAAATTTGGTCGGCGATGGGTTGTTGTAGATTAAATGTAAAAGAAAAACGATGCCATAAAAACACAGCGTTATTTAGAAAAAAAAATCTATTACCTGAATGAATAATACAACGCGCACGCCTATAGAAAATTCAAGTGAAACAACTTTGTTCAGCAGATGAAGCAGGTGTCGCCTATGCAAAGGAAATAAAGGGAGGGAGGAAATAAATGGCACCTACAATGAAACCATGCTGAAGTAGCCAAGGTTATCCGCCGACTGCTTACCTGCTCGGACTTCGTCCTGCCTGGTAACACAAAAGCGTTAAAAAAAAAAGACCTAAAATAATGAACACAAGTGCAAATGTTCTCGTGATTCCCACAGATGTCGATATCCGTGTGTCTTCAAGTATTCCACCACCGACAGGTTAAAGACGCAGGAGACTGAGCGCTGCTGCGGGCTGTTTTAGGCTCCAGCCAAGCATGCTGCTGCTGCTGCTGTTGCACTGTGCAGAGGTGGAGTGCTGGAGCGCAGCCCTCTGCAGCAACGTGGGGGAGAGCACAAGGAGGTGGGAGGAGCTCCTAACCAACCAGCCTGCCTGCTGCCTGCCTGTCTGCCATGCAGTCGGCCCAGTGGCCACACTCCTGCTGGCTTACAGAATACACACATAGATATACGTTTTATTTATTAAAAATACACAGCCCAACTTTCCCTAATCTTAAACTTTAAGCTTCAGGCTACAAATAATGGTCACTACTTCATGGCTCCAAGGGCCACTGGCTTGTGCAAGTTTATTCTGAAAGCCCTGAGACTGGATCAAGAGATCCTTTGAAGCAAAGAGAGTGTGGATCAACACAAGGTTCTCTGGGGTTCTGTTGCCCCCCCTCTTTCCCTCTGCTACCCCCAGGACTGTGCCTGCTTCTGTTCATCACGGTGACAGAGTAATAGAAGAACACACTGCTGCTGCTACTGAGCCTGGCTGGACCCCTGCTGATTTCCATTACTGGCAGCATAGCTCAGGGACTGACAAACACAGTCAGTGTGGATGGACTCAGTCATCCATAGAGATTAACCTTTTAACTGAGTGTGTCCTCTAACATCTTATCAAGAAATGACATTGAAACGAGTAATAACACTTGTCTCCTGACTAGTTTAAAAAGAAAGTACTGTTTAAAACAACACCAGAATTAGTTTTTTGACGATTTAATGTTGGTTTTCTGTAGTAGGACATAAATACAGCAAAGGAGACAGACTCTGATGACTCCTTGAAAAATCTAAGAAAAAACAGTACTCAATCTGTCAAGCCTCAAATCCAAGGATCCCATTGATCTGATCTATTGCCTGTGAAGGACACATCCATGAATATGAATTGATTGGACACAGACCCTCGCAGTATCCTGAAACTCACCAAAGATTTATAGCAGAGCTAAGACAATCAGCATAAGTGGCAGAGCGGAGACTGGATCCAGGAAAAGGGATATCTTTTACAAGACCACCTGTTGAATTTGGAAAGAGTTGCAATCCTCTCAAGAGGATTAAGAGTTTGTTGCATTTCATCTATTTTTGGCAGCACAGCACATGTAATAATTCTGCTAATGGGGTAATTCAGATTGGTGCGTTGCATAAGAGCACTGGATGATGTGTGAGAAGCTTCTAGGCACATTCAGCTATTCGAAATAGCCCAGGCAACAACGCATTGCACGAAAAATGTATAGGTTTTTTCTTGTGTTATATGAAATTCGTACAGGAGGTGGTACGTGTTGTTCCTGTACTGAAGTGTATCTGTGCTGAGAATCTTCATTAGCTTCATGCAGTGTCATTTTGCAAAGTCACAGGAGGAAAGGCTGTCATATAAAACTGAGATACTGTGGGAACATCCAAATGAGAGGAACACAGCAGACGGATAGGACCGCTCAGAAACACTGCATTACTACAAGAAGTTTTCCACACAAAATGTCTGAATAACAAGTGTGTGGGGAAATGTGATTTCACTCAATTCTTCCTAATTCATGTTATATCCAAGCAGAAACCTCTTAAAAGTCAAGCAGATGTACCAAAAAAAGGATGAGGATAATTGGAGTTCCTTTAATCACCACATGAGGCAGGTCCCAAAAGCAAGTCATTCTCCCTGAGACTACTGTGTTAAAATGCCCAACTTTACAACAGGAATTAACATGTTTGCAGCCTGCTACAAAAAAGTGTTGGTTTCTACAGCAATTTATCCCCTTTGTTAGGGGTTCATTTACTTATAACTCACTAACTTATTACGTTTTAATGATAAGCATTACTAAGGGGTGTGGCTCCTTGAGTAGCAGGGCGCCCAGTGAAAAACAGTACACATCATGACTCAGGAGCTTGAGGCAGCTTGAAGCAATTGTTGTCTGTGTGACTTTATCAGTCTCTCACATCGCTGCGGAGGAATTTTGGCTCGCTATTTCCAAAATTGCATCAGTTTATAATAAGTTTAAGGGCTTTTATTCGAGGCCTGGCCACAGCATTTCAACCAGTTTGGAGTCAGGACTTTGACTGGGCCATTGCAACACCTGCCGATGCGCTGGGATCATTGTCCTGCTGTGTGACCCAGTTTCAGCCAAGTTTGTTCCGATGCAGCTTTGTAAACCTATGATGTGCTGCAACGCTCTTTTTAGAGAAACTTGCTCCTGGCAATTCTTCCAAACTTGTCAAACTTGTTCAGGCTTTTTTCTAATTGTGCTGTTGTGAACTTCAAAATTTAACATGATAACTAATACCTGAGATTTTTTTTTTCTTGTTTCTCTGATAATTGCATTCTCTTACCTTGAGGTAAATTTGCTGGGACATCCACTTCTAGGGATATTGTAGCATTGTGTTTACACACTCCTGAAACCTTCAGACTAGCAAACTGCCAAAACCTCTGCTCTTACAGAGGTGCCTACACCAGCTGATAATCAGTTAAGTTTATTTATTAGCAGCACCTGGCTGTGACTTACCTTCTTAATTCCTGTAGAAACAGGATATGAGTGACCTTCGTCTGTATAAAGCATTTTCTTTGCATGACTGTATAGAGTCTTCTGTTATTTCCACTAAATACACCATGTCTACTATACTATACTGTCTAGTATACTAATGAAATGTACAATAAATTCCTTATGACTGATAACCGAAATGTGCTATGAGGTTGTTGTTGGGATTGAGTACAGTATGCACTATAAAGCATTTTTAGCTGCTTAACTTTTACAATGATGCTATAAATTAGGAAGAAAGCCAAAGCCAGTGAATGGTAATTTGGCTGGTATGAAGGACCTCTGCCATACTATCAACACTGTTGAATTAGCAGTTTGTTGGCATGCTGCAGGCTGCACTGAGTTTGTGTATGCAGCTCAGGAGACTCAGATGGAGGTAACGTCCCTGTACGCTGCGACATGAGGATGCTGTTGGAAAAGAGCCAGTCACACGTTGCCCAGGTCCCAGCCACAGATACAACACGAGGATAGTGAAATATGAGCATGGCCTTGACACCTCTGTATGATGTATGTTGTTTTCCCTCCTGATGTCCCTTTACTTCTACACCATCATCACTTCCACACAAGTACAGAATAAATTAATTAAAACGACTCTGTAACGCTAATGTTAGTGCATTTTTAGACGCAGGGAAAGACGGATTTAGGCTTTAAACACCCACATCTATGTGTCCAATCTGCTGCTGGAAATAACACCACTCTACCCGCTCTCGCTTCCCTGTGAATTACTAAAGGGGCAATCCTTTAAAATTAAATTCACAGAGAAGATAAGTGGGTTTTAATGCAAAGTAGCAAGAGATAGAAGGAAATAGAAGAAATAGTCCTCTGGTAATTAAAGACATTACTGAGGTCAGACAGAAACAGCACAGTGGTGGGCTACTGTCAGTCCTGATAAGTAGAGTGATAATAAAGTAGACTATACAGCTAAGAAGCTCGCAGTTTTACATTAATGCGCTGCAGAGTGAATTACTGGGCTGTAAAATGAAAGAAATAATGTGAAAACTGTTCCTATTATTCAGCTATAAAGACAGTTCAAATTGAATATTCAATAAAATATATGTCTTGCTATTAGGTTTTCTTCTTTTAATACATAGACACACATGTATGTACGGTGCCAAGGAAAATGGGAAATAGGTGCAGTCGTTTTTTGGAAACTAAGGAGCTTGAAAGTCAATATTTAGTCTGAACACCTTTATTCTGAGCCAAGCTTTCCTCTCATTTCTGTAAGTAGTCTTCAGGAATAATCTCCAGAGTTCTTGAAGAGCATTCAAAGCTCTTCTTTGGATGTTGGCTGCTTCACATGATCCCACACTACTTCAATAATGTTGAGGTCTTCATGCTAAAAAATGAAGATTTTGCCAATCAGATGCTTTCCAGTGGAGCACTTTTAAATTTTTACAATATCCCGAACACCACTGGCCGTAATGTAGCCTCGAACCATGACAGAGTCTCTAGATTGGTTTACAGATGGCTACAGAAACTCACGGTTGTACCTCTATTCTGACTACCTCCATACACACCGATGATGATTTGCACCAGAAATGGTGCATGATGTTTAGGTATTGTTCATCTACTGTCTTTTCAGGCCTGGTCATGTCAGGTCATGTTTTTAAGGACACACTGCACAGTATACTGAGATATGCCAAATTGTCTGCTAATAGCACATTAGGCAATTACCTCGTTGGTCCAAAATACTTGGACTGTCAAACTGTGTTATTGCTGTAATTTTTCATAACTTCAACTAAAGAAATGGGAAGAAATTAGTTAGGTGTTAGGTGTCCTTTTTATACTTGGGTGCTTCAGCGGTCGGTGTTTAGTGGTTTACGAATCAAACAAACAAAAAATCACTCTGGAAATGATCTGGTACAAGGCTGGGACTGGAAATGAGAGTGGAAAGGCAGCTAATGTCCAAAGAAAAACTTTGAAAGTCATTCAGAAAGCCTCGAGAACTATTGCTTCAGAGCACTTTGAGCACTTTTAACCACATGTAAAAAATGAAGAGGGTAACTCAAGACTTGCACAGCACTGTGCATTTCCTCATCATAATTGTCTTACTTAATACAGAATTGTTTTTAAAATATCAAAACCACATTTCCTGCTCTTTAAAAAAAAAGTGAGAAAAACAAAAACAAAAAATACCAAAAAACACATCAGCGCTTCTTTTAAAGTCTATCTTCAGGCCGGTTGTTAAAATGTTGACTTACAGCATCCCTTTAAGCATGTACTGTAGTGCAGTGAGTAACTCTGTGTAGAATAAGGAGCACTGTTTGTATAGACACATAGGCTGTATCAGTATGTTTTCAGTAATAAACAGGTTTTGAGTGTATATCAGTGTGGGGTTGGTTGTTTGATGTAAATATGTAAGGCACATGCAGACATTTAAGTTGGGAAGATTTTCAGACCCATAGATAGTAAAGCGTTGGTATTATGTTCTCATTATCCTTTTCATTGTAGAATTGTATGACCTGCAATTTAATCATTCAGCCGTACATTCAACTGGTAC